GACTTATTTGTTCCAAAAATTGTCCAAGGACTTATTTAACATTTTTTGGAATGTCCAAGGACTTATTTGTTCAAAAAATTGTTCAAGGACTTATTTAACATATTTTGGAATGTCCAAAGACTTATTTGTTCCAAAATATTGTCCAAGAACTTATTTAACATGTTTTGAAATGTCCAAGGACTTATTTGTTCCAAAAAAAGTCTAAGGACTTAATCATTCCAAACAAGAAAGTCAATTGGTTTTTATTGTACTTTTCCCTTAAAACAATCAACACAAATGTTTAAAATTACAATATTTATCATTTATATGTAACTAGTCTCTTACCGTTACATTATTTTTATCCATTTATTAGTGATCTCTCGCGTACTTTTATTCTTTTATATTTGATTGTTTTGTTGATTTTTCATTAATTATTGCATGAATAATCTGTTTGTATAAATTAAAAATGTTTTTGTTTTGAAGGATTTTTTCATAGATGAAAGATACACATTTTTTAAATTGGTAGAGATAAGTTTGGATAAAACTTTTTACATAAAGTTCATTCCTAAAAAACTTACTGAATAAATTACTTTATATATAGTTCAGTGAATATATTGTAAATCTCATCAAACTTATTATGCTATTGACAAACAAATCGTGAACTTTACATACCAAATGCAGCTTGTGAAAACAAAGAGGACTTATGCTTAAAGATCCGACCCGGATAGATCCACTGACCCATCCCAATTCCCAAGTGAACTTCAGGTTATTTTTATTCGGGCCCAACAAGATAGCAGCCCTCACCGACCTCTCCTCTATCGCACTCTCCTTGGCCACCGCTCTTCCCCTTCGTCGTAAATCGGGGTTTTGCTGCTCATCTGTGTAAATCAGGTTAGACGATTAGTAGTAGAGTCAACTAGTTGTGTTTAATTTGTTTGTTGTTCTTGATTTAGGGTTTTGCCTTCTTATAGTTCATGATTTAGGGCTTTGTTTCTTGTTCCTGTTTTTGGTTTAGAGACAATAGATTAAAACCAAATGCATGATTATTATTTTTCTGGGATTGGAATTTAAATGTTCTTCAGTGTTCTTGACGATGGATGGATGTTCTTGATATTTTTGGTTCGGGAGATGGATAATGGTTGTTTGTTGTCCTGAATTTGCTATTTAGGGCTGGATTCGATATCGTGCTGGATTCTATAGTTTTTTTTATGCTGGGCTTATGTTCTGAAGTGATTACTGGTTCTGCAATTGGATTCCATATTTTTGCAGCTTATCATGGTTAATATACTTCAAATTTGGGTCTGGTTACTTGCTGTTTTCGATTCTAATTTATTGAAATTCGCAGTTTGAACCTTTTGAGGTTTCCTTGTAGTCTCTTCGCATTCTAACATGGAGTTCTATTTAGAGATTTAAATTTAACCTGTGGGGAACCCGTCAGTACCCATGGGTACCAGCCTCTAATGGGGCGGGAGTCCCTGACTTTGCGGGTAACAGAGTGGGGAATGGGGTTGTTTTCTATATCCCATAAGGGTTGGGTTGTGGTCGGGGTCTCTGGATGGTACTACACTGCTAACTTCTCCTAACCCAACACAGATTGATATATATATATATATATATATATAKAKAGAGAGAGAGAGAGAGAGAGAGAGAGAGAGAGAGAGAGTGAGGTTCAAAGGGAAAACCCAAAAAACCGAGGAACACCCTCATAACCATTCATCTTTACGGTAATTGAAGATGTTTTTGGTTTTTATGCACGTGCGCTTGTTATGCACATGTGCATACTAGACATATAACTTGTATCATTGTATGCACATGTGAATGCTGTGAATTTTCATTTTCTTTTGGCGGGTTTCCCCTGAATCCGACCCTATATATATATATATATATCACAGTTTTTTGGAAATACATGTAAAACTTTTGAAGCCTATATTACTCCCTTTGTCCCAAAAAGATTTTACAGTTTTTTGGAAATATTTCTTACCAAATTCCTCTATTTACCCATAAGCAATCATTTCAAGATATTGTGAGATCGATTGTGGTCTACTGTACTATGTGTTTTCATCTTTTTCTTGGAATTCTATTGATACATTTGGTTTTTTTAATCTGACTGGATTGTGAATCAATCTTTGATGTGATGGGTAGTAGTAGGCCCTATTGGATATAGTTTGATGTTTAGAATAATAGGTGAATTTTGTGTTTGGGGTTGTTTGATGGTGAATTCAGGTGGGTAGGGGTAGCAGTACTGATACAGAAGCTTAAGAGCACTGTTGATTCCTGTTCAGTGGAGCTTCCATTGATGGTATAAAGGAACTGATGATGTTTCAACCTTTTGGTTTGGGTTTTCTTATCATGTTAAGAATGATCTGAACTTAAAGTTTTGAACACACAAGCAGATTGGGGTGATAGCATGCATATTATCTGATGATCCAGAAGATCATGTTTTTGAATGCTTTATATTTGTTCAATGTCATAAGATGTTTGATGAAATAATCAAGAGAAATGTGGGATAGATTTGGGTTTCTTGTAATCCTCATCTTTTGATTACATGTTATGACATTAAAGTAATAATTTGAGAATTCATTGTTATTGTTGGTTGATCAATTTTAAGGATTCATTGTTATTGTTGGTTGATCCATGTCCTCATCAAACTTTCCAAAAAATTAACATTAGCTTAATGGGAAATATAGAGTAAGTGCCTGTTTGTTGGCAGCTTAACGAGACTCTCAACTTATTGGGTCAGCTATATATGACTGTTTGGTAGTGACTTGATGATAAAGAAAGTGGCCCATTTAGTATTTTCTAGAGTGGAGCTTTATGCAGAAAGTCAAGTTTTTTCCAAACCTGCCCCTTCTAATTAAAAACACGCTCCTTCCATTCTATGAAAAAAACTCTCATATAAAACTTCCCCAATCTACAGACATATTAGTTCACACAGATACCTTTATCCATAGAGGACTTGATGGAAAACTAACCAAACAGCTCCTAAAGGAGTAAAATTGTCATCTCCGTCTTTCATTTTATTCAGCACAACATACAAACAACAATTTTAGCTTAATCCATACAGGGTTTAATGGAATAACAACACCAAACAGCCTCCTAGTGTTTTCCGTTTCTTTTGTTCCCTAGAAACTTATGTGAATGTGGTACTTCTTAGGGGTTGTTTGGTTCAAGCACGGGAATGAAAATGGGAATGGATTTTCATTCTTCCCGGTTTAACCTGAAATGAAAAATTGGGCTTTTGGGGGGAATGAACCCATCATATTATATAAAACCAAACAATGTCTTTTATATTCTTTTTCATTAGTTACTGCTTAATACCTCCGGCCAAACATCCTCTTAATCTGTTGTTCCTTCATCTTTTATGAAGGTAAGCCTTGAAGGGCGTTTTTTGCATCTCTCAGTTTTACTCTCCATCTCATGCAGGAAACACCATCTAAGAAGTGAGGTGGAGGCGTTACAAATGGACAAGATAGGGGAAGACGCACCGGTGAAGATGGCAAAGAAGTCAAAGAAAAGCAAGAACAAGACCAATGATATGCTGGATGTCGGTGATGATAACTGTCATGTAGAAGATGGCGGTGTTCCAAAGAAGAAAGGTCATAAGCATAAGGAGAAGAAGAGGAAATCTGAATCAAATGAAGATCAACGTGATAACGGTAATTTGGAAGATGATTGCAATTTACAGAAGAAGGATAAGAAGAGGAAAAGAGATTCGTCTGAAAATAACCATCCCTCCGACAAGACACAAATAGAAGAAAACGAGCAGGCCCGAGATAATGAACCTGCTGTAGAGAAAGATTGTGACCCGAAACCGAGAAAAGAGAAGAAGAGAAAGCATAAGCACCATAGCCATGAAAGTGAACTTGAAAATGATGGCAAGGAGGAGGATTGCCAGGAAGATATGTTCAAGAAAGTTGATACGAAGAAGAAGACGACGAAAACAGATGATCAAAATTCAGACGCTGAAATGAATGGAATTACGCATGAGGAATCGGGTAATAAAGGGAAAAAGAAGAGTAAATCCATCGAAAAGAATTCAGAGAAACAAAAAGCCGAAGGCAAGGAGAAAACGCCCAAATCTGTCGAGAACAATACGGAGAAACCGAAAACGAAAGGGAAAGCCAAGAAAGTTAGCTTCTCCGGTCGAGTTGAGGTCTTCCCGTCATCAGATACAGAACCTGAGAAGCAAAAAATGAAGGGAGATGGTCTAGTAAGAGGTAAAAGGTTTACGCCAGAAGAAGACGCAATAGTAAAAGAAGCCGTTCTTAATTATATAGAGGCACATGGTTTGGGAGACGAAGGTTTGAAGATGGTCTTGAACTGTAAGTCTCATGCCGGAATGAAAAAATGTTGGCAAGAAATCGCGACTTGCATACCATATCGTCCATCTTCTGCTGTCTATTATCGCGCTCATATTTTGTTTGAAAGGGCGGAATCCCGCGCATGGACTCCAGAAGAAATCGAACGTTTGAAGGAATTTCATGAGAAAGATGGTAACAAATGGAAGATGATGGCTGAAGAACTCGGTAAACACAGGTTTCACGTTAAGGATACATGGCGAAGAATCAAGCTCAAGGACCTGAAGGCTGGAAAATGGAGTCAAGAAGAGTACCAGAGCTTATACGATCTCGTGAACTTGGATTTGCAAATGAAAATAACTTCCGAAGTGAAACAATCAAAGCACGGGATGCTTAGAGACAACATTCCATGGACTGCAATTAGCGAAAAATTGTCGACAAGAAGTGATGCCACCTGTTGCTACAAGTGGTACAACCAGTTAACATCCTCACTCGTGGCCGAAAAGAAGTGGTGCGATGCTGATGACTATCGGCTCATCGGTAAACTTTATGAACTCGATGCTGCTTGTGTGGAAGATGTCGATTGGGATAACCTTCTCGAGCATAGACCTGGCGATGTTTGTCAAAAACGATGGAACCAAATGGTTTGTCACATTGGCCATCAGGGGAGCAAACCGTTTTCCGAACAAGTGGACACGCTGGCTAAGCGTTACTGCCCGGATTTAGCCGATATTCGAGAAGCTTGGGACAACAAACCTGTGGTTTGATGAGGTATGCAACTTATCTCTCCAATCTTTTGTACTCTTAAAATCATTTACTAATCATACATATTTGAATTGCAGTTATTAAATAGTGTTTTTAAGACATGCAAGTTTTGTATCTAAGCTTTAAAGCAAGATTTGGATTATTCTTCTGGTCTTTGTGGAAACAACTGCTTTGCTTTGTTATTTGGGGTAGAGGACAAGTTAGTCTATGGGGATGTTTGGTTGGTTTTTCATTAAATCTTGTATGGATAAAGTTGTCTGTGTGTATTAATATGTTTATATAGACATGGAAGATTTTGTTTGGGAGGGTTTTCTTATATGGAAGAAACATGTTTTTTAAGTGAGAGAAACATGTTTGGAAAAAACTTGGCTTTCTGCATCAAGGTCCCCCTATAAGCTTATTGAATAAGCCAATTTTTATTCAGTAAGACGCTTTGAATAAGCCACGAGTCTTATTAAGCTCATGATGCTGCTAACAAATAGACACTACATGCCAGACAATGCTTTCAAGTGGGATATATTGAGTTTGTTTGGTTTATTTTATAGCAATGATCAAAATATGAGGTTAGTCCCCGCCTTCAGTGTCAACTGTCAAGTCAGCATCACCGATTAATTGATTTAATCGTTGAGATCACGAGGGCATGGGGGATCAAAACATGTTCCTTTTGGTGTAAAAATTTCGATCCAGACTTGCATTTTTGTTGTTTGCAAAATATTGACGATGTTTGACTTAAAGTCAATTGGAAAATATAACATTTTTTAATTTCTTTTGGTATAATCTGATTGATATCAACAGATTAAGAGGTCTAAACCTGGTCTAAGAGGAATTAAGAGCCAAAAGAGTTGACTCAAGACTGAACATGGTAGGCATGACACCAAAAATGACTTTGACGCTCAGAGCTGTTTGGTACCTGGGATATGATAGAACAAAAACTGTAAAAAGAGACCGACAAGTGACAATGAGATAAACTCATAAAAGTGTTTGTAATATAATTGTTGTATATATTTGGTTCACAATATGTTTGTTTTATATATATGTGGTTCATAATGTGAAACATTTCTGTTTACGTCATCTTTTTATATAGTGAACTAAATACATAAAAAACAAACGCACTGTGAAATAAATATACATTAAGCAATACACTAAACCCAAGTCGTAGATAAACAAAACTCACGTGAAATAGCACATGATGTATTGGTTCTTAAGGTTATTATAATTTTATGGGTTCTTAAACGAATGATCGAAAGCCATATAATTTTATGGGTTTGAATGCAACTTATTTCATTTGAGATATATATGGAAGATGATTAAAGTTTGTAATTATGATCAACGTTTTATATTAGAAAACAATCAAGATATTTATGAAACCATATATTCACTAGATTAAATGGATGGTTGAGATTGAGTTGCAATGATTTTATAAATGGGACCTCTATATATGCATATATGTGTGTATGTATGTATATATATAGGCGAAAGATCATTTAGAAATAAAGTTATAGTGAGAAGTGTAAGAAGAAATTTGAACTCTTGATCACTTTTAATCTCATGTCCACCCAAGAATTGTGCTTTAAAATGGAATTGATCAAATGCACTGATTATTGTTGACATTCAATAAGGATTGATCCAAGGATAAATATCTTTTCTTATGTTTCTCACAATAACTTATATTCTCACAGGTACCTAATTATATGTATATGTGTGTGTATGTCTATATGAGTTTAATCTTGAGTACCAAAAAAAGGTTAAGGACTCGAGTACTAATTTAATCCATTGATAATAATAGATCAACGGTCATTAAAAAAACCATATTTGTAATAAAGGCCAAAACTAAGGGTAGATTTGTCATTTTGTACAAACATGGAAAGGGTATTATGGATATTTTTTAATTAAAATCAAAATAAAAATAAAATATGGACGTCAAAATAAAATTTAAATCGGATCAATCTTATTTATCTTCATTCTTCTTCAATTCGTCATTACGCTTCACCATAGAGATGGCTAAAATCCGGTTTCGGGCTGGGCCTTAACCGGTCCCTATCGATCCTATTCCTAACCAAGACAAAAACCGGTGGTAATCGGTCCCGTCATAATCGGTCCCAGTGATTTTCCTTGTAACCGGTCAAGCTTACTGGTAACCGGTTGTCCCAACCGGTCTCGGTTCCGGTCCCATAACCGGTTCCGGTCAGTCCTATTCAGAAATTTTTTTTTATTTATTTTTTCAAATTTTTGATTATTAATAAATTTTTAATATGTTTGTAATATGATATTTTTAATATGTTTTATTATAAATACGTTTTGTTATATATATATATATATATATATATATATATATATATATATACGTTTATAAATACGTTTTATTATAAATACGTTTAAAAATACACAATAAAAATACGTTTTATTATATATGTACGTTTCGTTGACTTTCGTTGACCGGACCGGGCCGGTCCTATAACCGGTCCCGGTCTTAACCGGTTTCGGTCCCAGAAAACGACAAAAGCCCTAACCGGATCATAACCGGCGGTCCCTCAACCGGTCCCGGTCGGTTCCGGTCCCCCGGTGGTTACGGGCCAGGCCGGGCCGGGCCCATTTGGCCATCTCTACTTCACCACCACATTCGCCTTCCCTACCACCACCATATCCAAATCCCAGACTAGAAACTATCCAACGATCATCAGTAAACTCATCGAAAAATTGTGAAGGCAGGAGCTTCTTTGGGGTTCTGATCGATGGATTCCAAATATACATATCATTCCCCAAATTATACTCCAATCGTGGTGCAAAACACAACAACCCATTACAGGAACCGACAAAGTTTAACGATGAACTACGATGAGGTCTAACAGCAAAAGGGGGTTCATTAGCGTGCATCAATTTAAAAGTTCTATCACAAACTATATGGCAGAAATTAGAGCCTCCAAAAAGAAGATAGCCATCATCATGATACTCTTGGCGATAATTACCATTGGAATTGAAATGTGAAGCAACGAAATTAGCGTTTCTGATAATTGCGTACCATGATTTGCAAATGGAGGTGCATCGGATTAGGGTTTTGACTGGTAACCTCAACAATATGCCGATTACGAGCTCCGTCGGTAAGTAATAGCTAGAATCAACCATTTGCTCCGCCATAACAATTGATTTGATTATGAATTTTCAATTGGTTTTGGTTGTGGTTTTGATAATCACCGGAGCTACAATTACGAGGATGGGTTTGGTTGTTATTCTTGAAAAGTTGATGTGGTGGGTGGTGATGTCGTCGTCGATGTAGCATCTGCGGTTTGTGCCTAATTCTGTCAATTTACTGTTCCATGAACTAGATTATAGATAGAAATTATGTTTGATTTCATGTTATGAATATTATGTTTGGATTTTATGATGTGAAATAAGGTGATTATATGTTTCATTTGGTGAATCTTTATTACCAAAATGATGATTATCCAATTTTCTAATTAAAAACGACTTTCAATTAAAATAATATGATCAAAACGAAATTAGGGTTTAGATCAGTCTTCACGGTTCTCAATTTTATATATATATATAACTTTCATCCGTCGTTAATTTTATGAAATTTTTTCATGAAATTGTTAATCTTGTGAAATTGTTTCATATAATATATTTTTTTTGATGAAGTTGTTTCATATGTGGTTATGAAATTGTTTCATATACTAATTAATGAAATTTTAATGAAATTGTTTCATGTATTTCTCTAAAATTAAAATATTGAAGATAATAATATCCATGATTAACACCCTCCACAATAAAAATGGTTAATCAACCTCTCATAATTACAAAAAAATGAACAAAATGAAAAATTATGATTGGTTGAATGAGTTTTTCACGGTTTTTACAAATTAAGTGGTTTTTATTTGAACCCACCCCTATATACACACACACACACACACACACACACACACGAGTGGTAATTATTTGAGAATCCGCTTATTTGTGAAAAATGTGATATCCAACCACATGTATGAATTTATGAGTAGGGTTGCGGTTCGATGAGAAAGAGAGTTAAAGTGAGAAACTTAAGAATGGATCTTCACACTTGGATGCACATTATGATGAGATGCATCGAGATGAGATGCACTGAGATGCACTGGATCAATCTCCTTATCAATGATGATTCATGGATGAGTTTGAGATTAAAGGTGGGGTCCATCCATTTTTACGTTTCTCACCTTAACTCTTATTTTCTCACACGATCCTTTGCCTCATGAAAAATCATAGTGTACCATGTCTACGTTTAATGTTTAAAACAAAAAACGCTCATGCCTTTGATCAAGGAGTACTAACAGTATGAATTATCATGTTTGAGTTTAATGTTCGAAATAGAAAACACACTGTTATGGGTTCAATAAGTAATCATAACGTGAATTACCATGTATGAGTTCAACATATGTGGTTAATAATAGATCTCACAGTTCTTACAAAATACAGAGTTTTCTCATGAATAGTCTTCGTATAAAAGAAGTGAGAAAGTGGGTGAGATGTGGTTAGGGGCGAAGCCAGAAAAATGAACCAGAGTGAACCTCTTCAATTTAACGAAAAAACAAATATATCAAAGATATTATATTGATAGCAAAGTTCAATCCAAAAGTACACATGCCCTCGACAATTTTTCATTTTCTGAAACATGTCGATGATAATTTCATTATCAACGTCGACAAAAACATCGTTTTCAATATAGGCAACCAAGTTATCGTTCATTCATTGATCTCCCATTCATGGCTAAAAATGCCCTCTCAACTATTGCATGAATGATGAATCAGAGTCATGAGGTATTGAGGTATCCTAATTCTTTAAAGAAATAGGCCAAACATGAATGGGTACTATGTGATTAGTAGGTTAATCTAATTTTTTTATTATTAAAATGGGACTCCGATAGTTAGTGGACTCGGTTTTTTTGGCCTGTATAAAAATGTTTTTTAGAATCCCAGCATTAGCTCAGGCTAACCATGGGCAGTAGCTAGCTGCGTTAGCGGGTGTGGTGTGGATAGAGTGAGAGGAGGTGGTAATTGACGACAATAATGACACATAAGACTCCTAATATCAACCGGAGCAATCTAAAACACGCCTTTTCTCGCGTTTCCTTCCACACTCTCCTTCAATACTTACAGTTATTATAATAATAATTTAAGTAAAACCTAACGCAAAAAATAGGGATGTTTGCCAAATACTTGTTGGTAAATATCTTTTTATTCAGATATAGGTTTTCTCTCTTACTTACTTATCAGGTAAGATTCTTGATCCTTGATATGTATTTTATGTGATAAAATTCTTGGTCCTTGTATATGCTGCAAAATGCTCTAATCTCACGTAATATGCATAACATTTGACATACGTATATTCAATTCTCTACTGTTCAGAGACATTAACTAAATGCTTACTGAATAAACATTTACTAATATTTTTTTAATTAGTTTCGATTCTCTGTATATCGCGAACCAAACCAGACCAGACCAGACCAGACCAGACCCATTTGAGCGGTATTCACAATCATACCAATTCACCAATTAATGTCTATGTCGTTTACTAGCACCTCAGCTTCTCCAAGTATCAATCATTAGATCTTCATTTTCTGGTACTATTCTGGTTTGAATTGACAATTTTAAATTAAAAAAAAAACTATTTACAAATGACATGGAATTCGTAGGTCATGTTTAACTCCATTGACTATACACAAACAAAATTACATATTTCAAAGAATTTAAGTTATTTTCATTTTTCAATTTACTTAAAATATTACAAAATTGAATTTTTAGAGATAAAGTTCCTTCAAAAACATTAGTTAGATTTTAAAAAACCATTTGATTATATTTCTAAAATCAAATATTTTATAAAATGATTTAAACAAAACCTCATTCAACCAATCATAATTTTTCATTTTATTCATTTTTTTGTAATTATAAGAGTTGATTAATCATTTTTATTATCTTCATTATTTTAATTTTAGAGAAATACATGAAACAATTTCATTAAGTATTATATGAAACAATTTTATAACCATATATGAAACAACATTATTAAAAAAAAGTATTATATGAAACAATTTTACAAGATTAAATAATTTCATGAAAAAATTTCATAAGATTAAACAATAAAATTGACGGATAAGAGTGGTTTGTACAAATTGGATGGTTTGCATTTGATCGCCTTGATGAGTCGATCCACCTACACGTCTTGCTTTTAACTTGATTGTTTCCTAATAATTGTTGTACCTCACAAGTCACATTCAAATTAAATGTTAAATGCATTAAGGATCGTCCTCAATTCAAGGAATATTTTTGTTTTCAGTATTTTTTAAAAACATAACTATCTTATTTCCAACCGTTAATTGTTTAATTATATAGAATAGATGAAGTTGTATTGGTTACGACATTTAAGAATATTGTATTTGATGAGCCCTATATATATTATATGATATTCAGATAACGAATCATAAGAAGCTTTTCGTGTAGGGTAAAAAAGTACTTCTCATAGATATGCTATTTCTCGAGCAATTATGTTAAACTCTTCTATAATAAAACAGAGAAAAAAGTAGATAAATCTCCAAATATGAAGAAAAAAGAAGGAACAATAACCACAAGGGTGGTGTCTGATTGGTTTGAGTTTGACTCCAAATGTCAAAAGTACCGGTGGGTATCAGGTTCAAATCCAAGTAGGAATAAAAATCCCCTTGTGGCTATGGAGGTTCAAATGCGATTACTCTGGACTATCTGCAAAGCAAGTGGTCGCTCTGGGATTAATCGGCTTATATAACGGATTGGATATCCAGGGTAATCAAAAAAAGAAGGAACAATATAACTCCAGAAATTAGTAATTTAGAAATTGAATCAAAAGAAAAGAAACCCTCTTTCAAAACATAAAAACAATTAGTCGAATGTAATTATCAACTAACTAAATTTACTTTGTAAGAAAGTCGGCAAACCTTTTCAAACAATGAGACGAATATATGAAATCTTGACTCTCAAGATCACTTAAAAACCCTAATAACTACGTACTATTTGATCATCATGATTTATTTGCTGATAACATCCACCAGAAATCCCCAGATTCAAATCATGTAATTAAAAACCAATTTCTTCAAATTCAATTCTTTTACTTGATCCTCGGAACTTGAATCAAGTGTTTTCAATTCCTTCTCCGGTAAATGAACCTTCAAAAATCAAATGACGGATCTCCGTAGTCCCAAATACTAGGTGGTGGGTACTCGTCGTCATTTGTCAACGACCACAAAGAAGGCGATGATGGCTCGCCGCCGACCGCCATAATCGGATCTGAAACTGAATCACCCACCACCATTGTCGGCGACGAGTTGGACACAAGTGAAAGGCTTGATCCCACTGAACCCACCAATGAATTGATGTCCTCCTTCACGTTTGGTTGATGATTTTGACATTCTTGTAGCGGTTGTTGTTCCCATTGACAATTGTTGTTGCTAGGGTTTGTGTTTGCATTCGGATCATACGAGGTTGGAGTTGTTGTCATTCTGAAAGTGGGGTCCTCACTGAATTTATTCATGTTCGAGTAAGGTAAATACTGATGATTCGGTTGTACAAGTTGCAGTGCATATTGTACTATACTGCCACCGGAAGTTGTACCTTGGTGTACTGTAGGATAGAAAGGGTAAGGCATATAATTAGCCAAAACCGGCACTCCCGACGGCGAGGCTTGAGAAGGCGGCGAGAAGGTCAGATTAAAGGCGGCAGGGCGAGGGAGTATGGGTCGTAGGGTTTGAGTAGTCGATGATGAAGAAGAACTGCCACTGCCGGCGCCGCCGCGGGGGGAGGAGGAGGAAGAAGAAGGATGGGAAGACGAACTACCAGTAGCCGTGGCGGTTGTGTTATTACCGTCGCCAGACGGTTGCTGGAGGTTGAGCTGAGCTCTTGAACCATAAAGGATAACTGCAGCTCGGTCATAGGCTCGTGCTGCGTCTTCAGCTGTGGCGAACGTACCAAGCCACCGGCGGGTGCGTTTACGTGGCTCACGGATCTCAGCCACCCATTTCCCCCAGCTACGTTGTCTAACTCCTCTATACTTAAACTTGCTGTTGTCTGGCCCTCCTTTGCCTTTAGATTTGCGATTGTTGTTGTTACGCTGAGGACTTCCGCTTCCACTTCCACTTCCATTTCCACCGTGGGTGGCGGTGATAACCGTCGGCGGAGGTGGAGGAGGCGGAGAGGCGGGTAGGTGAGGATCGTTTGATGTGTCCATAATTAAGTTAAAAGAAAGAGATAAAGAAGGTAGGGTTGGCGATAGAAACGAAGGTGGAAGAAAGAGAGTAAGGGAGAGAGGTGGATAATGACGGTTGGTGATGGTAAATGGTGGAGGGGGGCGGTGGTGTTATATAGTAAAGGCTGAACATGCAAAGACTTGTCTGAGTCAATTTTAGTTGGTCCAGTGACTGATTGTTACCTTGTTAAGAAACAAGATTGGTGCAATATTTAATTACTTTACTTACTTTTAGATCAAATTCTGTCATATTTGTCTCATAATCAATTCATGTGGCTACCGGTGAATCCGGCTTATCTCCAAAACAGATGATCGTTTTGGGATTAGTCGGCTCGCATAGCAAGTTGGATATTCAGGTTAATGAAAAAAACATATCCACTAAATGTCAGACTAAACATATCAGATATTCTTCATTTTATTCATACATCTAGATTCACAGTTTTAAAACACGTATATAAAAGGTATCAAGTATGTTATAAGACGATTTTTATTTCCCCTAATCACCAACCAATATGGGATCTTACAAATATATCTGTGTCTTAGACACATATTTTATACACTTTTAAACGTGTACTGTTTTTCTAAATCTATTAATATGTAAGACCAATTAATAGTAAAATTTAAACGACATATTCTCGCTATCCTTTGGCTTAATAACTAATAACGTTTTAAGACATTTCAGTTTTAAGTTTGATTAAGTTCTTATCCATTAAAGTTGATAAGTAGCCGCAAAGGGTTAGGGTGCATGGACCAAACTATACAACTGGTGGCAGCAACAGGAAACAGCAACAGTGGATGCCTGTGATTGCCATAACTTCTTCTGATCATGAATCCATGGTCTTATTTATTAATGGATGTCTGTACAGCTACTTATTGTTTGCTGTGCAGCCCCTATTTCAATAAAACAAAAACAAAACGTAATGACTTTTAGTTATATATATATAGGCTTACAATATGATGGATTCATGGATATATATGCATTCTTTATACGACTACCACTTCCTTATTAAGACAACTGCATGGCTGCATGCAGTTTCAAAGGCCAACTCTATTTTTCCAAGAAATCTTTATCTACAATTTAATTAAAATTAAATAATAAAAACCTGAATATTGGTTTAATAATGGTGCTGAAGTTTAGGGTTTTCATCAGAAAAGTCGGTTCCAATCTGCACGGAGCCCCCAAAATTTGCACACCCTCTTGTTCTCTTATGCCACTATAATACTATATCTTGCCAAAAACACCTTTTCTTTTTAATGCCCAATACAAACCAAGTTAAATAGCATAATATAATCGTGTTTTTACCTGATAAATGTTAATGTAAAAAGAGTCGTCACCATTCTTGTAACAACCCGTCCCACATCGGTTGGTGAGGAGAACTAAGCACTCCTTATAAGGGTGTGGATACCTCAKCCTAGYRTGACCGGTTTTGGGGCTTGCGTTGTGCGGCTGCCAGAAACAAAACCGTGCGACTACTGCTTTGTGGTTGAGCGGGCAGGTTAGTCAAAGCGGACAATATCATGCTACGGGGTTCTGGGGGCGTTACAATTCTTATCGGATAAGATTCTCAATTAGCAAAACGACATAGTAAGTATTAATTGTTGGTAAAGACCATCATCTCTTATCAAATAGGCATCTCTTGTCGGATAAGAAACAACAAGAGGTTGTTTACCAAATACTTACCCGGTAAGCGTTTACCGGTAAATTTAACATTATCATTTACTTACCGGATAAGATTTTAATCCACCAAAACGGTATCGTATGCAAAAATTTACCCGGTAAGCACTTACCGTGATAAGAGTCGTCGTCTTCACTTACCGGGTAAAACCAGGGACGTTCCTAATATTTTTGATGCCCTGTGCGAAAATAATAAAAATTCCCCTAAGTCAATTAAACAACGAAACATGTGATTTTTTAAAGAGTTTAGAACCTATTCAAGCTAAGTATCTCATCCTCATGTTGATTTTTATTAATTATAATAAAAAAACTAGTTGTGTMCCCGCGCAATGCGGCGGGAGCCATAAATTTTAACGATTTTGAAGTTCCACTGGTTTTATAAGATAAGATTTAACGATTATATAGGTTACACTTGATCTTTACATATTAATACAATTTGAATAAATAAGAGTTATGGTTCCAATTACAGTCTATCGATGAAAAAAATTGTATGACAGTTTAAAATCCAATATATTTAAAATCCAACATATTTAAACGACTCCACAAATGTGTTCGATTTACATCAAGAGCAAAGAACCAAAAAACTTGAGTTTTAAGATAAACACTCAAAACCAATAAAGAAAACTACAAATTTGACAGATCATAAACCATGAAAAGACCAAAAAAGATGAGTTTTAGAATGAAATTTCAATTGTTTACCCTCTTTCTTGTCCAGAAACTCAGATTAAGGTTGAATTAATACATGTATATATATATATATATAT